GCTGGGATCCACATGGCCCCTCACACTGATGCAGCTCACATGTTTGTCCATGTGGTCCCCACAACAGCCTTGTGGGGTAGGCAGGAAGGACCCACCCAGCTCCCTCACTGCACAGAACTGGATTTGGAGGTTCAGAAAGGTGATGGGTCCTCTGAAGGTTCACAAAGCCAGGGCCTGGCTGGGTCAGCTGACCCCAGAACCAGATGGCTTACTGCCCTGGTCTAGGTGGAAGCAGTGTTTGTGGTACCACCATGAGGACCCTGCAGGTACCTGGCACAGGTACACTGTGTCTGATCTGTGCACAGATAAGCATCCAAATGGCACTTCCCCAGGGAACTTAAAACCCTGAGGATGAGAGCAACCAAGGACAGCCCCCTGGCGGAGAGCCAGGCAGGTCTCAAGTGGGGTTGAGGTGGACAATTGAGAGGAGGGAGACATCCAGAGAGGATGAAGGGTTGTCAATTGAGAGATGGGAGAGAAGGAAAGGGGGAAATGGATGTTTCTGGAGGCTCCAGGCTTCAACATTACCTCATGGTGAGCTATCCCTTTTTTATAGGTAAGCAAATGGAGGCTCAGAAGGGTAAGAGCTTGTCTGCCCTCCTTGAGCTGATGAAAGACAGAGTCAGGATTGGAACCTAGGTTTATTCCACACCGGTGTTCAGGCTCCATCCAAGCAACTGGGAAGGGAGTGAACCTTCTTAAGCACCCACATGCCGGCACTGAGCAGTGACTTCACCTAGAGGCATTTCAACTAGTGCCTCTCAGTTTACCCATTTACTTAGGAGGAAAGTGCCACCTCCATGGTTCTCAGAGAAGCGAAGTACTTGGCCTGAGGTCACCACATAGCAAGTCCATTTTCATGCCAGGGTCTGTCTGGTTCAACCCAGCTTGACTTTCCATATCTGCAGCCCCTCACAGCTTCTGTCTTTTCACCTTTGGGAACAGCACAGGGGCCCTAAAGTATGAGGCCCAGGGGAAAGAGAACACATTCACTGGTGGTTGCTATGTCAGCGATTGATGGGGCCCCATGTTAGTCAGACCAGTTAATCTGTTTGCGTTATGGGACAGTGGGGTGGACTTTAATTTTAAATAATAATTTATTATGGTTTGGGGGAAGGTCTATACAGTGGTTTAGGTTCCCTTTCAATAGTTTCTACACAAGTTGTTCTATGACATTGGTCACATTTGTCACGATGCATGAATGCTCTCTTGATTTCTGTTCTGGTTGTTCCATTTCCATTTATCTAGTTTCCCTAACCCCTTACATTCTCATCTTTGTTTTAAAGTAATTGCTGACCATTTGGTCTCATGTAGGTGATTTTTTTTTTTTAAAAAAGGAGCATGTACTCACGGATGATAGTCATTAGCTTTTGAGTTAACTAGATTTTGTTCTTTATTGTATTTCAGATGGTCTGTGCAGTGGGGAACTCAGTCAATACCTGGGGCATGTTTAGGAAACCCAATCACAGTGTGAAAATGTGGGTCCTAAGTATTAAGGAATGGCTGCCACGGGCTTGGAGGAGTGCATGGAGGAGTTGGGGCCTGAGCAGATGGGCAGGATTAAATCAGCCAAGAGGAAGGGAGAAAGCAGTCTGGAAGGAAAAAAACCTCATCACAGTCAGGTTGCAGAGAATGGAAGAAGATGGGTTTATAGTAGATGTACTGGGGGTAGTAGTCAGGGACGGTGGATCTGTGGATTTCAGGGCTAGGAGGAGTCTTGAATGCATTACCCTCTCAACGTTTGGGCCCATTCTACAACAACCCATGTATAGCGTCTTCAGGTCTCACAGCACACCATCAGTGATGAGGATCTTACTAACGTTCAGGTAGCTTCTTTTGTCCTAGAATGGTTCTATTACCGAATGTATCTCTTTCCAATTAGACAGTCTTCTACTGAGCTGACTATTCATCTTTCTGCCTTTTTCCCACCGCCTGCTGTGGCTACGCTCCCTTCCTTCACCCCTCCCTGGCCCTTTCACAATTGTGTTTCTGAATCGGCACGGTAGGTTTGCTGCTTGGTCCTTGCTGAGTTTCATCTTCTTCAGTCTAGTTCATCCTGCACGCCTGTGGTGAACTATCTGGATCCTGACTCTTGCTTTCTTTTTGCCACCCTCTCTGAGTTCATGGTCTTGACAGCTTGAAAGGCACATTTCCCATCTTGCAGCAGGACACAGGCCTGGGGAAGGCTACTAGAAACTCCGGGATGTCAAGAAACTCAAGAACCAACTTCTGTACCAGCTGCCATCAAGTTGACTCGGACACACAGATAGCTCCACAGGGTTTCCAGTGGTTGTCTTTTCAGAAGTAGATTTCCAGGCCTTTCTTCTGCAGTGCCTCCGGGTAGACTTGAAGTTCTAACGTTTTGCTCAGCAGTCCATTATTGTGTTAACTGTTTTCACCTCACAGGGACTCTAGAATCAGCACACACCTACCTAAATCTCCTGACCTCTCGACGCCCTTCTCCATCTTGCCCACGAAGACATGATGGTAGTTCTTGCTCTACTCCATTTGCCTAGGTTGACAGGTTGACCAGTCTTATAGCTCAAGACCAATGTTGGTTGGTTTAGCTTGGACTCAAGGGTCCCGTGGGAGTTTATTGTGATCACCCTTTTCTTTTCTCAGTACTCACAAACCTCCCACTCTGACTAACCACCAAACTGGGCTTTGTTCATGTGGATTTTTACTAAGCCTTGGAATGCCCTTTCTGTCCCCATCCCACTGGCTCTTCCCACCCAGGGGACAGACTTCAGCTCTCTCATGATCCCTTAGCCTCCTGGGACTTCCAGACCCTTGGAGATATCTGCCACCCCTTTCTGTTAACGAGGCTTCTTCCCAGGGGCGTTGAGTCCCCCGACATTCCCCAAGCTCCTCCCCGCTCTCCTCTGCCCTCAGCACAGTTTTTATTTTGGTACCTGTTTCCTTTAAGAGTCCTTGAGTGGTGCAAACAGTTAAGCACTTGACTACTAGCTGAAAGGTGGGTGGTTTCAACCCACCAAGAGGCACCTTGGAAGAAAGGTTTGGTGATCTACTGAAAGATAAGCCATTAAAAACTGTATGGAGCACAGTTCTACGGGGTCACGTGAGTCAGAATCAACTCAATGGCAACTACAACTGTCCCCTTTGGGCCCTCTTATCCCTGCAGCCCCTGGACTTTCCCTTGGCCAGGTGACTTCCCATCATCTCTCACTTGTCTGCATCTTTCACAGGGTCTCTCTGCACCTTGACTGAATGATTCTCAGCCTTCCAAACTGGAACCACCATCATACATTCACACAGGCCCAGCACCTCCCCCCTGACTTCCACAGCTCCTTGGCCAATGAATTCATCTCATGGATGCAGGGCTTTCAGCATTTATTGTGGCTCATGTGACCCTAACATTCATGAAGACATCCAAGGCCTTCAATGATTTCTTGATTAGACCCCAGGGCTTTTGCACTTGCTGTTCCTTCTACCTGGAATAGACTTTCTTCTCATTGTTCTGTGTTAGTGCAAATTCCACCTCCTCACACAGACCTTCCCTGACCAGCTAAGATTCCTGTGCCTCTTCTCAGGATCTCTACTTTATTACAGTGGTATACTGTCTTCATCTGTCTTATCACTATCTGAAATTACCATACATATCTGTTTACATGCTCATTATTAGGTCTCTTTTATTACCGTACATTTCTGTTTACATGCTCATTGTTATGCCTCTTTTATATAGAGTCTGAGCTCAAGGAGGGCAGGAACCTTGCTTGTTCCATTAACCGCTGGCACACAATAGGTACGTGATGAATGCTGATTGACTAAGTCCCAGATAAATAAATGCCCTAGCTCCAATTCTTATTCCTTTCTATGGTCTTACTCTGCAGACTCACTGACTTCCTCTTTGTGTTTCCAGAATATTCCACATTCGTTCAGACTTCTGGGTCTTCACTCCTTTGCAAGGAGTGCCTATTTTCCACATCCTACTAGGAGAGCTCCTACTCACCTGCCCTGGGTAGCACTCCCCACTCCCCAGGGCTGAGTTTGTTGCTTCCTTCTTGGGCTTTCTCATGACAACTTCCTCACTTCTCGGCTGGGATTAATGATTTCCAGGTCTGCCCACCCCTGGCTTGACAGGGCCTAGGTCTAAATCTGGTGCTGAACCTAGAGCAGTGGCTCGGGTAATGTTTGGTGAATATTGCTGGAAAGTAGCGCATTTCTGGGTGTCCCGTGGGGAGGGTGTCTCACCTGGCTGGCTCCTCTGTGCGGTCTCCCCACTATCACTCTTGCAGCAACCAGAGTGAGCTTTTAAAAATGTTAATGTCATCAGCCCACTTTAAGACCCTGCTTAACATTGTCAAAATAAGTTCCAAACTTCTGACTGTGGTCCAAGAGGCCCATCATCTGGCTCCTCCACCCTCTCCATTTTGTTCACAATCCTCCATCCACAGTTCTGCCTCTGTGCCTTTGCCCTTGCTGTTCCCTCTGCCTGGTTTGCTGTTCCCCCAGCTCCTTCTCATCCTCATACCTTGACTACAAATAAAAGGTTTCCCCAGCCTCCCCAGTCACCTGCACCCCTTTGCCCTGTTTTGTTTTCCCCAGACACCTTGCATTGCCTCTCTCAGGCCTGGGGCTCCACCTGCCTTCTTTACTGCTACCTCCCCAGCACTTGGCCCAGTGCCTGACACAGAGTGGGTGTCCCCTGACTGATTCTTTCTTGTCTCTGATGACAATAGGTTTCAACTTTTGACTTGTCCATAAACCAAGTCATTAGAATGTTGTTCATCAAGAGCAAGGGTTCTTTGTTGAATCTTCATGGTGGTATGGCCAGGGTCTAGAACAGTGCCGTGCACACAGTAGGCACATTGGTTGGGGAAAAGAGAAGGAATTCTCATTGGGGCTGAGCTGGCCAGAGATCAAGGATCAAAGTGCCTGGCCCATCCAGCCGAAGGGAGGGGAAACACAGGTGGCCCCTTCTTCTGCAATGGGGTGGGACTGGCTGGGAGTGAACCCACCACTAGCCGTTCGCAGCTCACCTGACAGCAGCATGGGGTCCTTGTCCACAGACTTGCGCACCTGGTCAGACTCCCCAGTCAGGGAGCTTTCATCAATCTTGAGGTCATTTCCCTGGATGAAGAGGCCGTCAGCAGGGAGAAGGTCACCTGGTGGGATGGAGGGTGGGAAGTCAGTAGTGTCTAAGGTAGCTAGAGTGGCTGGAACTTTCCCTTAGAACTATGATGACGAGGGAAGGGTGACCAGTAGGAACACATGCCTAGAGCTCCCAGGGTGCAGGAACCAAGATGGTGCCCATTCCAGGCTAACAGGCAACTAGAGACTGGGGCCAAGGTGAATGGTACAAAGCCTGGAGAGTTGAGGTTGGGTCCAGTAACAAACAATCACAGCTCAAGTTGGCAGACACTTTATAGTTCACAAAGTGCGTCTCTTGATCTCACTTGGATTTGGGACCCAGATTTCTTAATCTGGAAAATCTTAAATTTCAAGACCCATTCTTCTCTAGTCTCTTCTGTGGTTTGGAGAAATTCTTTTGGAAAGGACCAACCTGCTCTGAGTAGGCTGAGGAGACTCCATGACAGACATATTACCCTAGAGCCAAGTGAGAATGGCCACTAAAATCTTCCCTCACTCATGCCTTTGCTGCCAGCCTGCCCATTTTCTTGATGGTAGTATCACAGGCCTAGAATGTTCATGTATCCATTTCTCCTCACTCTAACACTTCTTCTAGTCCAGCCACAATCTGTTGACAGCCAAACCAGGGAAGGGAAGTAGATTTCATCCCAACGATCTAGTCTGTGTCCTTGAAATTCTGTGTTGAGAAGGCTGCACCAACTCATGAGCTGAGAATGGATTAAGTGATACTTGCCATGGGTAATGATTTGGAAAGTGATGGCACATGTGCCACTTATTTGCCATTTCAGATTTAAATAGATTCTGGAATCCTGCCTCCTCTAGGAAGCACCATCTTACCTCCTGAAGGAACTCAGAAGGCATCTTGACTGGGGATCAGTCTTTGGGTACCCACGCTCCCTGGGGTAATTCCTCTGGCTCTGCTGGGCTCTCTAAGCTGGCTTTGTGGCTAGGACACTTACCGTATTTGATCTGGGCGATGTCCCCAACCACGATCTCAGCCACAGGGATCTGGACCACCTGGTTGGCCCGGATCACAGTAAACTTCTGCTCCTGCTCAATGCGACTTTGCAGGCCCCGGAACTGTTTCTCTTTGCTCCAGTCATTAAAGGCTGTGACGAGGACCACACAGATGACCGAGAGGAGAATGGCGGCCCCCTCGATCCAGCCTGCCTCGGCCTCCCCTTCATCCTCTGCCCCCGCCTGGGCTGTCGCGCATCCTGCAGAGAGTAGAAGGAAGCAGCAGACTGAAGTGAGGATGGCAAGAGGGGCCTTGTGGGTCTGGACTTACTCCCAGCTCTGTTAAGTAGCAAATACTGTTCAGCAGAAGGATAAGGATGTGTGTACACGGTGCTCCTGTGTGCCAAGCCCTGTGCAAAGTGCTTTATGTGGACCATCTCGTGAACTACTCAGTCTTCCCATTTCACAAATGTGGAAACTGAGGCTTCTTGGAAAGGTCAAGTGAGTTACCCAACAAGCTTGGAAAGGCCAGTGGGGAGCTTGGATTTGAACCCAGGCAGCCTGGCTACAGAGCCTGCCTCTGAGTCACATCATTCTCTTGTCTCTGTTCTAGCTGTGAGAGGTTGGGTAAATGCCTTCACCTTTCTTAACCTCGGGTTTCTCATCTACAACGTGGGAAATAGTCTTCATCTGAGAACCCTAATGTGAAGGTTAAAATTTAATGAAGGTCAGACATAAAAGGACGAGTATTGCTTGATCCCACTTTTATAAAATACCTAGACGTGACAAGTGAAGAGAGGTCAAAGTGACTCCCAGTGGCTGGGAAGGGATGGGGAGAGGGAATAGGAGTTTTTGCTGAAGGAGTACTGAGGTTCTGTTTGGGGTGATGTAAAACTTTTGGAGATCTATAGTAATGATGGTAGCACAACATGGTGACTATAATTAATGCCACTGAATTGTGCACTTAAATGGAGCTAAGATGGCACTCTCTAGAAAATATAAAATGCAAGGAAACAATGAGTCTGGTGGACTAATGGACCACACGGATATCAGACCCATGACCCTGGGACTAGAAGAACTAGATGGGGCCTGGCTACCGCTAACTACTGCAAGGGATCACCTAAGAAGGTCCTGTACAGAGTGGGAGACAAGTGCAGAACAAACGTCAAAATCACCAACACTACCAGGCTTACTGGCTGGATAGAGAGCTGTGGAACTCTAAGAGAATGGCCGTTAGTCACCCTGCAGGTCTGGAAAGGAACTCACCCCTGAGGCTTAGTATTCAGCCAAACAACAAACAGGTTTGTGTGTTTAAGTGCTGTTGAGTCAGTTCTGACTCATAGTGACACTGTTTCCAAGGAGTGGCTGGTGGGTTTGAACCGCCAACCTTGTGGTTAGCAATCTAGTGCTGACCCTACAGTGCCGCAGCAGGACTCCAGACAGGTCTATAAGGGGAACGATAACACTAGTGAGGTATGTACACCATAGACTATATCAACCATTTGAGGTCAGAAGGGCAGCGTTTACCAAGTTCAGAAAGTTTAAAGAAGGAAGCAGGAAACCCAGGGAGGAAGTGGGGTGAGTGATGCTTTATTGTGGGGATGTTAATCAATGACATGAAACAAAACATGTATGAATTGTTGAATGGAAAACTGGTCTGCTCTTTAACTCATCATCCAATTCATGGCAAAAAGTTAAAAAATAAAATGGCAATCTTTTTTGTTAATTTCACCACAATAAAACTGGAAAAAAAAAAAATGTCGCGAGGTCTGTGGAGGAAAGGACTTAACCTGTGAGAGGAGAGAGCACACCGCTGGAGCTCACTGCACATGCTCTGAGGTCTGCCATGGGTTGATTTGCATCTCCCCAAAGAAGACCAAGTTCAAACCTGGGTATCTATGAGTAGGACTTGATTTGGAAATAGTGTCTTCGCTATTTGTCAAGTTTGGATGCGGTCAGTAGTTGTTGCTGCTGTTATGTGCCGTGGAGTCGGTTCTGACTCATAGTGACCCTGTACAGGGTTTTCAAGGCTATAAATCTTTACAGGAGCAGAAAGCCTCATCTTTCTCCCACAGAACAGCTGATAGTTTCAAACTGCTGACCCTGAGGTTCACAGCCCGATTTGTAACCACTACGCTACCAGAGCTCCTTGAGGTCAGTAGTTGTTGTTAATGCTGTCGAGTCAGTTCCGACCCATAGCAACCCTGTATAGGGTTTAAAAGTAGCAGCTGGTAAGCTTGAACTGTAGTCTGGCGCATTAACCACAGCGCCATACCAGTGAGGTTAGTAGGGTGGGCCCTAATTTAGTATGACTGTTGGTATGTGCTGTCAAGTTGGTTCCAACTCAGTGATCCTGTGGAGGGTTTCCAGGGAGCAGCTGGTTAGTTTGAGCCCACTAACCTTGCAGTTCAAATCAACTGTGCGGTCCAGCGCTTATCCTATAGCACCACACCAGGGCTGTGGTGGTGGTGATGCGCCGTGGAGTCGGTTCCGACTCCTAGCGACCCTGCACAGGGTTTCCAAGGCTGTAAATCTTTATGGGAGCCTTATCTTTCTCCCGCAAAACAGCTGGTAGTTTCTAACTGCTGACCTTGTGGTTCGCAGCTGATTCATCCTTATCAAAAAGAGATACTGGCCATGTGAAAATGAAGACAGATTGAAGTGATGCATCTGTAAGCAGTCAACTACTACTCAGCTGCTAACTGAAAGGTTGGTGGCTCGAACCCATATAACGACACAATGTGCAGAGGCCAAGGAACACGAAGGCTCCCAGGCAACACCAGAAGCTAGGAGAGAGGCGTGATGCTGAGTCTCCCCGAGACTCTTTGGAAAGAGCACAGCCATGATGTTGGGCTTTGAGGCTCCAGAACTATGAGACATTCCCGAGTTTTAAGCCACCCAGTTGTGGTACTTTGTGACAGCTGTCACAGGAAACTAGGGCTGGGTCTAAAATGCAGTTTTCTGATGTTCTCTCCAGCAAGTCTCCAGGCAGCAGGACTGGGGGTGGCAGCCACAGTGCAGGAGCCACTCTATTCGGAAAGATCCCGGGTGAGTCATTGCCAACCTGCACGGCAGTGTCATCTGCAAGAAGGGGACGACTGTGCTCATTCCCTAGGGCCTGGGAGAGGAAGGGGATTGAGTTAGCCCTTGCTAGACTTCAGTGGAGTGAGTGGATTCCTGGAGGTGGGCTAGCTCACCCTGCACCCCGCATCACTGAGCTCTCTAGCTGGGGGCCTCCTAAAATGCTAGGCCCGTGGGGTGAGTAAAATAAAAAAACCACTGAACCCAATTTGATCCAAAGCTTTAAAGGAAGGGCCTGCCACATTGTGCTGAAACCTGGGGCCTTCCCAAGCCACTCCACACATGGCTTATCCCTGCTTCAGGGAACCAGAGCAAGCAGGAATGTGGAAACTGAGGCCCAGAGAGCTGAGTGCCACATCAGACCCTTTCCCCACTGAGGTGTGGGGAGCGGTGTCGACACTGAGCAGTGTCTGACCACCCACCAAGAGTGGCTCAGCAGGGGCTGGGAAAATCCCAGGGCTTGCTATGTGACAAGGGTTCACTTTAATCCTCAACCAGGCTGGGAGAAGGGAAACAACTCAGAGAGTGGAGGGGACACATCAAGGTCACACAGCAGACAGGTGCAAGAACCTGCCTCATGCCCAGTGACCCTCTTTGCCACTGCACTTTGCTATCATCACAAAAGAAAGGAGCCAATGCTTCCAAAGACTCCTGATCCAGCGTCTGAAGTCCAATCTCAAGAGACCCCAGAGATGTCTGGGCAGCTGGGAACCAAAGAACCATGACAAGAAGGCTGAGTGTGGCCAGGGGATGTTTCCAGCTCTCAGCTCCTGGGTGGGTGGGGCTCAGCTGGTGGTACCATTATGACTACTGGAAAATTTCACATTTTAACTCTGAACCAGCCACTTCTCAAAGGACAGTAAACAACCACGTCATCCTGTGGGCTTCTCAAAACCACCTTTTTCTCTCCCTTAGGAGTTTCAGACTCTTTCAGTAATTTTCAACTGTTAAACTGGACCATCGATTGGTGTCAATAATATTCAAATGGTAACAGACACTTGGCCAGCAGGAGGCTGCCCTGACTTCCAATCAATCCCAGCTGCACCCCTTAACTGTTGTGGGTCTATGAGCTAGCTACTTAATCTCCGTGCCTCAGTTTCCTCATCTGAAAAATGGGGGCCATCACGACGCTCCCTTCATAGATTGGTTGAGAGGATTAAGGGAGCAAGCGCCCACTGCAGGAACTCAGAGTAATGCTCACTGATTTCCCATTGTATGGTGTGCATTCCTGCATTCAAGTGCCACAGCCCGTCTGTATGGTTCCTGGTTAATTTTAGCAGTATGTGATGGTGGAAGGAGATGGTGGCCCTGTACCACGCATGAACGACACCAGGAGAGACCCTGAGCACTGGGCAACACAAGTCAAACTCGACAAACAGAAGTCCGGCATGCAGATACGCAGTCTCTGGGGCTCCAGTGGAGTGATTTGAGATACACAGCCCAGTGCTTCACTTATGGGACTTTTGCTGTCCCTCAACCGCTTTCTACATGCCCAGTGAATGGGAAGGCTGTTGCTTTTCTGTTATATGCTTTGTCAATTACTCCCATTGGTGCAGTTACTGGAACATTTAAGATACTCACAGCTAGGTCAATGGAAAGCTCTGGAATTGGAAAGACCTGGCTCTGTTGTATGGCCTTAGGCTGACAGTGACTCAGCATCTCTGAGCCTGTCTGGATAGATGCAAAGTGGGATGGGTTCAGGGCCTGGCACATGGTGGGTACACATAACCATAGGTCCTTTCCAAAGACTAGCTTCTGAAAGCCAGGGACCCAGTGGCTGGGCAGAATTGTCACCCTGCTCCCCCTGCTCCAGTCTGTGCCTGATTTTATAACAAGCAGTTCGAAACTACCAGCTGCTCTATGGGAGAAAGATGAGGCTTTCTGCTCCCGTAAAGATTTACAGCCTCAGAAAACCCCATGCAGGGTCGCTATGGGTCAGAATCGACTCAATGGCACTTAACAACAACAACTCATTTTACCAAGAAAAGCTGGTTAAGTTTCATCTCCCCCTGAGAGAGGTCTGATAGTCACACAGTGCCCTGGAATGGCAGACAGCCGGTGTGAGGTGAGGATCGCTGGGTGTGTGCACACCGGTAGCTAGGTTCCTAGGGAGTGGAGTCACCTGGAACGGGTCCTTCATGATTTATCAAGAGACACTATTGGAAATCAACCCCATGAC